TAATGGACGCGTCATTGACTAGGTCACAGTTCGACAGCGGCTTTTAAGAACTATGATTGCTAGTCGAGTTGTGGAGTCGTACTTGCAATAATAGTTATTAGACTTATCCAAGTGGGAGACTGTTGGATTAGGTGTCTAAGTCCATAACTATAATTAGTATGTACTTGACCCGAGAGTAGCATGATCCATTTGGGTTGCATATCACCAGGAAAAATTTGATAGGATGGACTTTTTAGAAGAGGTTATTTGTGATTTATTAATATATTATAAGTTCTAATATATTAATATGAAAGCATATGATTTAATTAGTATTGATCAAGAATTAATTTGGAATTAATTCAGTGATCAAAAGAGACTAATTAAATTAATAGGGACTAATTATGTAAATTAGTTATGTATATATATGGTTTGGGCTTATGATACATGATGGACTAAGTTTATGGATGAATCCATAAAGAGTTGGCCCACTTGAATCATGGATCATGGATAATAAGCCCAAGTGTATGGATTATGGTTTACCCATGACTCTTGGATTCCTACACTATATATATATATATATATATATATATATATATATATATATATTTATATATATATATATATATATATATATATATATATATATATATATATAACACCCTATAGCCTAAAACTGGTTGCACAAGTTTTGCTAGAGTGTTCTTGGAGAGCCATAACCGATTTTAGTGTGCATAAACTCTCTCAAAAGTCATCCTTTTTCTAAGGGTGTGTTGTGAGCCATTTGAGGTGCAACATTTGGGGCACTAAGTTCTTAAAGGCCAAATACAACAAGTTCTACAAGCTACATAAAGAGGTAAACTCCTAACTAGTATTTTATGTTGTTTATGTCAATTGCATGCTAGTTGCAGGCTTAATGTTTTGGAAACAATATTACACGTATAACTAAAGAAAACATAGATCCAAAGCATTTAGGGTTGTGTGTGCACCATAGGATGTTGTAGTATACAAAACCAAACAGGTTGTACATTAGTATTGTGAAAATGCATTAATAACTTGATGTTATAAAAGGTAATGTCATGTATGATTTGGTGAGTAAAGGATACAAGCATATAAGTCAAAGTTTATTCGTTCATTTTGTGCTAATAGGAAAAAGTGATATCTTTGGGCCCCTTGGTGATTTGGTGTTGACTTATAGTGTTGGGCCCAACCATGACTAAATTGATGTGTTCAATTAGTACGCCTTATGAGGTCATTACAAATCAGGAAATCGGGAAACATAATTTTAGACAATGAGATTGATTATGATCCATGTCTCGTGTCAATACGATATCTTGTAGAATGAAGGAATATTTGATCACTTATCTTAGGACCAATGTCTGATCAGATCAGATTCTAGAGTTGCTTTGGGAAGCACCCTTTGTTATTTGATTTAGAAGTTATATTTGCAATTGTAATCATAGACTTATCCAAGTAGGAGACTATTGGATTAGGTGTCTAAGCCAATAACTAAATTGATATATACATGAATTAAAAGCAAAGTCCTTTTGGGTTGCCCTCTAACCTAGTAATTGAATAAAATGACTTTTGGAAAGAGAGAGACTGGTTTATTGATTTTAATATATGATTAATAAATAGCAATAAGTGATTTATTAATATATTATGAGAATAAATATTAAGGAGAAATAGTATTATTTAATTAAGAATTAATAAAAAATTAATTAGAATTAATTTTGTGATTAATTAGATTAATTAAAAGTACCTAAGTTGTAATTGTTCAATAGTTAAACAAAAGGGTTCCAGAACCTTCTCCAAGGTGGTGGATGGTTTTGGAGGCATATTCTAGTGTTTCTAGAATATCCCTTAAAAATAATTAGGAGATTGAATAATTACCTAATTTGAAATAATAATATTATATTCAAATTAGGGTTTCCAAGGTTTCCTAGTGCAACTATAAATAGAGCCTTACCCCTTCATATTTTCGGCCACTCCTCCTCTCAAGAGAATAGTCAAAAATCATCTCCTCTCCTTTCTTTTATCAAGTTTCTTAGTTTCTAGGGTTTGGCTGTGAACCATCAGAGGCACGAGGTTTCTGGTGCTTGCTTCCAAGGGCTTTTGAAGAAGGATTTCATTGGTTATTTATAAGAATAATCAAAAGGTATGTAAACCCTAACCCTCTTATGAATTTCGATTGAGTTAGGGTTCTTGTGGGGTTCTTTGATTTTCATAGATTATAGCATTCAATAGTGAGAACATAGATCCAATTAGATTGCATGTGAACTTAAGAGTTAAGTTATTTTCCGCCACATGATTTTTTTGTAACCTATAAACCTGTCAACACCCAGAAGGTGTCACCTCATCATCCTACTCATACATTTGTGTTATAACACCAAATTTGGAAATGGAAAATACCAAATAACATGAGATAACACCTCCTATTTTCTATTTCTTTTTTTAATTTTTTTTTAGTTTTGTTATTTTTCTATTTTTCCCATTTTTTTATTATTTTTTGTTTTTTTTATTTATGTCATAATATTTATAAAATACATATAAAATAATAACACATCTACTTTAATTAAATCATTAATTAAAAATAACATTTAAAAATTAAAAATAAAATTTTAGTAAATCCTAATTTTTTTCCTAAATGATTCATCTTCCTTACCATCATATATATGATATGTCAAGTCTTCTCGAAGTTTCCTATGTTTTCGTTGATCTTGAATATCAACGACTCTATATAAATATTTCGTCGTCCCTGGTTGAAATTGTGTGCATCTAGGTTTTGTAGCCGAATACTTCGCAATATTTCGTCATTTATCTTCAATCATCATGCATTATGATACATGCATACATAATATATCGTAGAGTGTCCAAGTGATATGGTCATGCCGCTTGTTCAACTATATGTCATTTTGATTTTAGAACTCCGAAAGCATGTTCCACGTCCTTACGTGCTCCTTCTTGTCTTCTCCTGAAAATTTTGTCTCTTGGTTCTATTGGGTGTTGACACACCTTCACAAACATGGAATATGGTGGATATATTCCATCCATGAGGTAATACCTAAACTTATACTCATGGTCATTCACTGTGAAAGAAGCATCTGGTGCCTTTCCTGACAAAAGATCCTCAAATATTGGTGACTGATCAAGAACGTTTACGTCGTTGTTGGAACCTGCAACCCTGAAAAAACATGTCAAATCCATAAGTTTTGTGAAGCTACAACCTCTAATACCAACAAAGGCGCTCCAAGATGACCACTTGTGTATTGTCCTTTCCACGCCACAGGAGAATTTCTCCATATCCACTTTGTGCAATCAATGCTTCCAAGCATACCCGGAAAACCATGTCGTTGTTCATGCGCCGCATATAGTTGTTGCATATCGATTAATGAAGGTTTGCGTAAGTATTTGTCATCAAAGGTTTCGAAAACACCTCTCGCCAATCTATACAAACTTTCTCGTGCAGGCAACTCCCCCATAGCCATTAGCTTGATCGCAACAACACATTTTTGCAACCCTGTGAAACCATGCTTACCTCTCGCATCATACCTCATTTGGAAAAATTCATACCTAAACATATATTTAATTTGTAAAAAATGTGTATTTAGTCTATCTAAATACAATTATCTAAAAAATTGTATTTACGATACCAGCTTTCCAATGCATTGGCTATCAGTTGAAACACATTCTTTCGCAAACGAAACCTTCTTTTGAAATCGCTAGGTTGGTAGACACAATTGTCCGTAAAGTAATCATTTACAAGACGTCTATGCCATTCTGCACAATCTCTATTTAAAGTCGTACGTCTTGTAAGTAGTGAAGTTGATTCTGTCTGTAGTAGCATGTCCGTAAAATATCAATACAACATACTCACAAAGATATTGTCGTCGTCGTTACCATCGTTCAATGGATGGAACAGATCAAAATGATCCATTTTTGTTTTGAATTATCGAAATTATATGTGGAATAGAAAGAGAGAAAAGAATAGGAAATTGAGAGAAATGTGAAATTGAGAGAAATAGATGTATTTTGTGGGTAAATGAGTAAAATATGTTATGGCAGCGTTATTTAGTGTCCATATCAGATTAACGGGGTAGGGCGTTGCCTATACGTGATATTCTTAACTATTATATTGTTAACTTTATTTTTCATAAATGCAGGAGAGGTTTGTTGAAGAGGTTGCTTTCACGTCTTAACATGAGGCATCGTAGTACTGGAGCTTTGGTGAGAAAGGCTAAACTTGTTTTGAAGGTCTTTGCACTACTACGGTCTGGGCTATCACCCACGGATATTACACACATATTTAATCCGGGGATAATTACCCTTGCATTTGCAATAAATTTTCGGCAATTGTAAAAAAACCCTAATTAATTAAAACGTTGTTATGGTTACAATCCCCACCCATATCTCCGACACCATATTCTTATGAGATGATTCAAAATATGTTTTAACATATGCAACAATGTTGACAAAAATATCATCAACAAGAAAAATGAAGACTATACCAAAATCAGTATATATTCATAATGCGAACTTTCCACCGTTTGAACCAATGTTACCGCCTCAATTTGATTACAATGTTTATATTACTAATCCAAATCATGCACCAAAAATTTTGAAAATTAAAGAACCAATCCGGTGCTGATGATGATGGAGAAGACTTGGATGGAGAAAAATAGTTATAGTTTATGATGGAATTTGAATGATTAAACTTTGTATTGATTTAATATTTTACAATTATTTATGGATTGTGAAGTTTTTATTGTTTTATAAAAAATAAAAATATATATGTAGAATTTGTATCGGTTTATTTTATGAAACTTTTGGGAAATGTTACAAAAGTACTGTCGTTAAATCTATGCAAAGTTTTCAGCGACGACAATTGTCCTTGCTAAATATGTTTAACTTATGATATTATTGATAACTTTAGCCACATGCTAAAAGTAATCATTTTCTTAAATATTACTTTTCACCATTATATGTCATCATCGCAACAAATTATCGATTATTTTATTTCATAAATCAGTAGTACTGTATTTGTTTGTAACAACTTGGAAATAAAGTAATTACACATGGCCCATAATTAGCGTATTTATTCAAGCAAATAAAAATGATCTACCGTCTATGCAATACCTATGGAAGAATATTCATTTGCTTCAACCTCTCAACCCATACCACGATGCTAGCAAGTGTATTTTCAAACCCAACAAACCCAAATTCTCGACTCTTGTTCATGCTACAAACATGTTGAAACTCAAACTTTAAAATTGCATTAGATGCATCGACGCAAGTTATCTCCTCCAGCTTTGTCTTGTACAATCCATTTTCTTCAACAATTCTGTCCCAAACTTCTCCTTTATCCTTCATGTAATCAACAAAATCAAACTCGTCGTTCTCATCGAATGTTACAAACTTAACATCAAACACATCACAAAGCACTCTCCATAGCTGTTTCCATGTAAACACATCACCATTAGTGCAGTTAAAAGCTTGATTCTTAGCTTTGTCTGTCACCGCAGCCCATATTTGCTGCTCGGCTAGCACCCTAGCATCACTCGCATCCCAAAAGTGTTCCCAGCAGTACTTATTACCAAAATACCTACAAGATACATACAAACAAAAACATATATATTAATTTAAGATTATGATTCAAAGGAAGATCTAGATGATAATTTGCATACCTGAATGGATGGTTTTCGTGTTTGCATATTAGTGCATAAACTGAAAGCGTGAGAAGTTCATTAAAGAAACTTCTTGATGATGCACCAATGATTATGGATGATCGATGTATGGAGTATGTAAAGGATTCTGGGTAGGAAGCTACAATGTCTTCCAAAGCATAGTAGAAGTTTGGAAATGGTATTCTAGGGTAATCCTCTCTAAATGGAGGATCATGAGGAACAAGTTGAGCTGAAAGGGAAGGGTCAAAAACAGGACCCATATATTGTTTTGTTCCTGTTTGCAATGTGACATGCTTGAGTTTTGAGTCTTGAGAGGAAGTTAACGCGTTAAGGACATTGGAAAGCATAGTAGAGTTAAGGGAAATGTTAACTTCTTCACTTTCATTGACGCTTATAGCAACCCAAAAGAGATGAGTGACTTTGGAGGAAAGTGGAGAGAGGAGTTTTTGTGTGTCTTCTTGTTTTAGGGTGTCCAGAATGAGGTAATTGTTAAGAAGAGAGGATGGGAACCACGGTGGTAATGACCGCCGTGATACACCATAGACTGTCCACGGACCACCTAATGCTGTTGGCTTCTTTAAGGCTTCTGTTAAGGCAATACCCACCATGCCGGTGACCCCAACAATAAGAGCCACCGGCGAAGCAGGGTTTCCTTCCTCCATTAATGTTTGTGTATGCATGTGAGAGAAATAGAGATAGATGCAAAAACTTTGGTTAGAGAGATTACTTATATAAGACCCTCTCCAAATATCACTTCATTTTTAATTTTTTCATAAGAGATTTTCCAACCCCATTCTATTTCTTTCACTAGGTTATAACGGACATAGTTGATAGTAAAAAAACTTATAGAATAAAAAAACAATTTATTTAATCATATAATTACAAACAAAATATATAATAATTGATGTATGTATAATTAATATTTCAATTAATTTAAATTAATGACGATAAACAATCCTTATTAACCAACCGCAATCATATATATATATATATATATATATATATATATATATATATATATATATATATATATATAATAGATATATATATATATATATAATTTTCTAAGTTATTTGTTTATGAGGTTTCTTTCAAAAACTTTCTTACTCCGATATATTTTTATTTACCGGGTTATCAAAAGTTAAGATCCGTATGCTTAGCATATTCTTAATCAAATATAATTTAATTAATTAATAATTATGGTGTGATAAAAGGATTTAATAAAAAAAACTAATAATCATCAATAATAATAATAAAATATATATATAAAAAGTTTAATAACGTAGATTTTCAAACAAAGAGACACATTTATTTTTAAACGGGGGTTAATAGTTAGAAGTTACTATTACGAAATTGTTCACGTCAGGATTAGAACTTGAAATCTTCAATCTAAGAAGCAAATCCTACACCAGTGTGACTAGTCCCACATATTATCATGTCAACTATGCTTCTCTACTTATGTTTGATTCAAATTTTTTTTTTTTTTTTTGGTAAAGCAAGAACTAAGATAATTTTTTGACGTCTGAATTATTGATGATTATGGTTGATTGATATCCCTATGTGTATACAATCACTAATATGTATAGATATGAAATCAAAATAGATTTATATGATTGAAAACTTTAACCTTACACATGAGAACACAATCAAATAATTTTATCATTTTGTCTAAACAAAAACATAATTTTCACCTTAAACCCTTAACCATATAATACGATATTATAAGTTAAAGATTTAAATAAATTTAATAGCTAAAATAAAACATAGTTTAAAAAATATTGGTAAAGAAGTTTATTAATATCTTTTTTCTTTAAAACCAATACCTACTACATACAATATAATTTTGTTTTATAAACTTACGGTCATTAATCAACATAATCAAATCTCCATTCATAATAAAAACCTCTCCTACATGCCACATGTCCATCTTTTAGATTAGCATCCTTTCACGTGTCTATTTTTTAGAGTCCAACCTTTGATTTTTGCTGCTCATCTTCTATAGAGAAAATTAAAAAAACACATTTGAAAATTAATCCATTTAAATCACCCACCAAATCATAACTGTATCTTCTCCAATTTCTCATATGCGTTTTGGAAACAAAATCATTGATTCAAATTTTAAAATATGCAAGATCATGAATGATTTATCTTCATTGATCTTCAACCCAATCTTAACAAATCGCGATTAAAATCTGCAACCATCTCCTTATTGTCTTTGTTTTCGTCCAATACACCCCCGACTCCCCTTTTCACCCATCGATTTTACTCTTGCTTCGTCTCCTTGAAAATCCTAGAAATTTGACTGAACAACCTGACCTCCACTGCTACACCCCCACCACCGCTTATGCTAATCAAAAACAATACCTAAAACACGATAGCCAAACCCACAACGTCTCTTCCACCATCACATGACTTCCATGACTACCTAACTTTCTGTTGTGTTGTATTCTATGCCACTTCCTTCTCAGTCTTTCCTTCTCAGGCATTTAACGACTATTCAAACAAGTGAATGTTGCAAGTGGAAGAACACTCTGATGTTATAGCTCTAAGTAATGGAATGATACATGTTCATATCTATATATCTTTTCATTTGCGAGTTTATTCGATTTTCTGGATGTTTTTCTCTTTTTTCATCTACGCGTTGATTAATTATCTAGCTTTGTTGGTATTTTTAAGTTAAAAACAATAATTTGAGTTCTTTTTTTTGGGCAACCAAACCTGTCAAGCCTCTTACTCCTGCAGCCTCTCTCGAACCTTGGAAACATCCACAGATCGCTGAAATAACACATTTATGCATTTCTTTATCCATTCCCAACCTGATTCTAGAACATGAGTGATTACCATTATGATTTCTCAGCTCACTGAATTATGCCCACCAGGTGTTTGTTAAAATGCCAAAGAGAGATATTTTTAGTTGCTATATCTATAATTTCTCAAGCACTTTTTTGTTATTATGTGAATTTGTGATACTGATTTATGTGTTTTATATATGTTAATATGCTGGTAAAATGAAACAGAAATTAAACATATGCATAAAGTAAAGAAGAAACCATATATCGATTGGTAGTTGTGGTGCTAATATGGTTGAAGTTGTGATTTTAACATGCTTCTCAATTTCATAAACAATATTTTTATTTGACTATGTGTTGAGAATTTAAAATAAGGTCGGATCAAATTTACTTTCAGTTAAGAAGGCGTTGTTTGGCTGTTTGTATTATTAAGAAACATGGAGTCACCCCCAGGTGGCTTTAAAAGGGATATTATGCAACTGAATTGGATATTGATCAACCAATCGTGTCTCTCATTAGGTTATAAGCTCTTTTCAACTGTCCCTTTTTGTAAAAGGTTAAAATAATGTATTATTACTTTAGGAAAGTTACATAAACCATTTTTCTCGATTTAGAACCATTATACTTTTTTATAATTTAAAAAGCCTCATTTCTCCTGGTTTTGTGGTTTGTTAAACATGCCCATTCACAATCAACTATGCAAATTCCACTTTGGAGAAGACAATGTTAGATACAAACCCTCACATGTAGTGTATTTCTACTTCTATATAGTTTCAATTTAAAGTTTAAAATTTGTTTGATGTTAACAAGCTAGTGACTCCATGTTTCTTAATAATATAAATGTGTTTTCCATTTACAATTTTAATTGTTTTATTATTATTTTATATTCCATTTAAATATGGGGTTTTTTTGTATTTCTCTTAAATGCACGAAATAACAACTACTTTCATAGTTTCTAATTTCTAGAATCTTTTATTATAACATTCTATTTTTTGGAAACTATTATTTATAGCATTCTACTTTGTAAAATAGTCAACCGTAGTGACCACGGGTTATAACCTAGTCAATTATATATATATATATATATATATATATATATATATATATATATATATATATATATATATATATAAAGGACCATGTGAGACTCTTTTTTCGGTGAGGACTCGTGAGTACCACCCAACCAATTATCACACACGACCCCCATCATCTACCACCCATCACCAACACCATGACTACCTATCACCACCACCACAACCACGACTACACATCCCTATCACCACCCATCTCCACCACTACCACCACCCATTATTACAACCACCACCACCATATATGATTAAATTCATATAATCACATAAATCATATGTGATTATATGTATTTAGTCATATAAATTACATGTGATTAAATACATATAATCATATCTGATTATATGTATCTAATCACATATGATTTATATAGACAAGATTCGTTTTCATATTCCTCATTCAATAATTTCTCATGTATTTAATCATACCTTATTATATAATATTTAATCACATATGATTAATGTGAACAAAGATTTTTTATTGTGTTTTTGATTTAATAGTTGTTCTTGTGTATATAATCACATGCGATTATATGTATATAGAATCACATGTGATTATATGTATCGAATCACATATGATTTATATGTGATTATATATATTATATATATATATAGATATATATATATATATATATAATATTGAATACATATAATCACACACACACACACACATATATATATATATATATATATATATATATATATATATATAATCACATGTGATTAATACACATGAAAAGTGAATCGAGAACGCAAAAATGAATATTTTCCATGTAAATCATATGTGATTAGATACAAATAATTATATGTGATTATATGTATTCAATAAAATATTATTTATGTGGATTGTATTCATTTTCGTGTATTTAATCACATATGATTTACATGGATAATATTTGTTTTCACGTATTGATTCAATAGTTGTTCTCGTGTATTTGTTTTCACGTATTGATTCAATAGTTGTTCTCGTGTATTTAATCACATGTGATTATATATATGTATTTAATCACATATGATTTATATGGATAAAGATTCTTTTTTCCAAATAAAATAATATGTGATTAAATAGATATTATCACATGTGATTAAATGTATTTAATCACATATGATTAAAATGGACAAAGAATAATTATTGAATCAAGAATGTGAAAATGAATATTGTTCATATAAATCATATGCAATTGGATACATAAAATCACATGTGATTATATGTATTTAATCACATATGATTTATGTGGACAATATTTATTTACGCGCTTTCGATTTAATAGTTGATCTCGTGTATTTATTATTTAATCACATGTGATTGTATGTATTTAATCACATATGATTAAAATGGACAAATAACAATTATTGAATTTAGAACGCGAAAATGAATATTGTCCTCATAAATCCTATGTGATTGGGTACGTATCATCACATGTGATTATATGTATTTAGTCATATATTATTTATGTGGATTTTCGTCTATGATATTACCATTTAATAAAAAAAACATAGGTGTGTGACGAAATTACACAGTAAAAATTTTCAATATATAGGACCTTTTCAATAAAAAAAATGAACCACTAAAAAATATAAAACATATGGTAATTTACATGATTCACACTTTTGTTTTAATAGAAAAAGTTTGACGATAAACATTCAAATAGAAAATTAATTATAGTCAATTAATAGTTTATTGTCGAGTTTGGTGGCTCATTTATCATGTCAAGTAAAATTATTTTATAATCATAAAATATGTTTTAAACTTTTAACTGATGCTATAACCTTTTGGTAAGAAACCAGACAAAAAGTGAAGGACACTTTCTTTTAGTCGATGCCAACCACGGATG